TCGTGTGCAATGAAGCGACAGCCCAACCTGCTGCTGCGTATGCCCTGGCATCCGAGCGAGATGTCAAGGAAGGGAGTCTTAGAGGACATCTCACCCATAGAGAGATAGCTGAACAGCGTCTCTCTATAGGGGCATCTTCTCATAACCGCTTTTGCGCATCGCATCAATGTTGGTATAACTTGTATGCTGGAATAGATGGATGCGTGAAGAAAAAACGGCCCTCATCGGCCAGATCCACCTGCTATCCCCACGAGCTCATTCCCTTCTGTGCCCCAGTAGCGGCGGGTCCTGGATCGCGGGAAGCAGATGGCTGCCCCTCTTTCCTCGAAAAGAGAGACAAACGAGAGCACAGATTTTTTCCTTGGAAAAAACGCTCACAGTGCACGCCGATTGCCCCCTCGGAGACATCGCGTGCGTGCTCTTTGCCCAAGCAAAACAACATATAGATTGTGTGTGTCATCAGATGAAAAACAACGTCAACACGGATGCACACATCCTTAAATGCTTTGCTAGTGCTCGCCATAATGAGATAAATAGAGATCACTCTTACCACAGAAATGCACGCTTCAAACAAAACAGTCAATGAAGACAAAGAAGAGAATGATCAACGAAGAAGAAGAGAATGAAGAAGAGCTCCCGGCGCCTATTAATACTATAATCGCACCGGTAGTGACGTCATGGCTGTCGCCGGCCAACAAGTTGGTGTTTTTTCAATGTATGCTTCAGACACGGGTCACGACGAGGCGTTCCCCATAGCGACCCCTAGAGGATGCAGTTCGAAGTTCCCATGAAAGGGAACTTAAAGTTTTGATACAATTGATCTGTTATACCATGTTTAAAGAGCTAAACACCTTTAGTTTAGTGACTGAATTCAAGTTTTTTGGAGATAGAGTAAAGTGTGCTGATGAGAGTGAGGTTTTGTCTGAGTTTGACACATGTCTTCAAATATCCATGACAATCATTCTGGGAAAAGCTTGACATTCTCAAAACCTGTAAGAGCGTCCAAGATAAAGAAAATAAAAATAAACATCTGGTTTCAAATGAAAAGCTTAACGAAATGAAAAATGAAAAGCTTAACGAAAGGCTAGTAATTTGTTGATTCAATGTTGAAATGTTAGGAAAATTCTTAAAATTGAAATGATTTGTGTCCAGTGTTCAAATGCTGTGTGGCCTCTCAGTTTTCAGTGTAATTATATCCACTTGACTAGTGCCAATTGTTAGAAAAATGCTCCGTATTTATGTTGCATTGACATGAATAAGTCTATACAATCCATCAAAGTTGAAATTTAATGACATGACAAACACTGTAGTTAATTACGTAATCCATTACATTACACATTTTAGGTAATATAATAAGACTACTTTTAGATTACTTTTGACATAAATCATTTATCACATTCATTTAAATAATCTTGTACCATACTGATATAAAAAAAGAAAATATGTTCCATTAGTTGTTATTAACATCATGGCACAACAAACTGGGGTTCGCGAGTTTAATAAAAAGCTTAGAATTTGTTGATGCACTGCTGAGGGAACACTTTTTAAAACTGAAATTATTCTTGTAAATCTAGTAGTCAAAAGATGTGCGGCCTCCCAATTTTTTTCTGTGTAATTATATCTACCTGACTAGTGACTGGTCTTTGTGTGAATGTACACACAACTGGAAGGCTTTCTGAATACATAAGCGGCAGGATATTTTAGAAAGGGAAATTTAAAAGATGAGAAAGAATTAGGCTGATAAATTATGAATCATTTATTGCTACTGTGTGAATAACATGATCACTGTAATCAATACAAAAGTAACTGTTTTTGATTATCAGATTTTGAGTATTTTAAAATGTAATTTAATCCAATTATAAGTAATTTTTGTAATCTGATTAGGTAATCTAGATTACATGCTATCATCTACTACCCAGCACTATATAATAATAAAAAAAAAACCCTTCATAATAGAAGAGGTGTCTTTAAGTCATTGCATTCATTCATTCAATCTATTTATTTATTTTAACAAACTATTATATTATTTAACAAAAGTCTAAATTTAATGATTTTAAAATGTCATGTGGTGTAACCATCAAGTAAAAGGCATTGACATTTTCTTTAAGCTTTAAATATTCAAGTACTGTTTACACATCTAAATGAATGAATGAATGAGTTAGTTTTGAAAGACTATATTTACCAACTACTATACTATTTAAGAAAAGTCTAAATTTAAGGACTCTAAAATGTCATGCAGTGTAACCATAATAAAAGAGGTGTCTAAGTCATTCATTCATTCATTCATTCATTCAATGTATTTATTTATTTTAACCAACTATTATATTATTGAACAAAAGTCTAAATTTAGTGATTTTAAAATGTCATGTGTTGTAACCATCAAGTAAAATGCATTTACATTTTATTTAAGCTTTAAATATTGTATAAAATATTTACTTAAATTATATATATTCTTCAAGTATTGTTTACACATCTAAAGGAATGAATGAATGAATGAATTAGTTTAGAAAGACTATTTTTACCAACTACTATACTATTTAAGAAAAGTCTAAATTTAATGACTCTAAAATGTCATGCGGTGTAACCATAACAGAAGAGGTGTCATTCATTCATTCATTCATTCATTATTTATATTTATTTATTTAAATTTAATTAATAAATTAATGGATATGATTATGCCCAATATTACATTTCAAAACCAATTGAGCACCACTGACCTAAACTTCACTGGTCTGCTCAACTGTAATGTCATTCTGTGAAGAGAGCAAATTACAGTTTGGCTGAACATTCACAGTATGTGAAAAAAATGAACAAAAAGAAGGACAACCCTCTCTCTGTCTCTCAGCGTAGGGTCCAAATGAGCTGTAGGTGGTGATGGGAAACCATGGAGTATCCATTTCCACACACCATATGGAAACTCTGTGGTTTGATCAGAGGAGGTGGGATCTAATATTGACCTGGACCATATGTGTTTTAGTGAATTACAAACACAACAGGGCCGAGCGGCCACCTAACACACAACATATGGGCATCTTTTCTGTGTTAGGGGCTTTTACAAACAAGACCCCCCCACACACACATGCGTGTACGCCGTCCAAGATCTCGAGGGACTGCTCTTTTGAATTACTCTATTGACACACACCCTAGTTAGCTTCATTAGCGGGAGCTAGTGTTAGCTCACAGTGTGAGACAATAAACTATCGCTGGAGTTTCTCCCCTAAAAAACAATTATCACTCGTGACTGCACAGTAACTTCAGCTTTGCATCACTGATCATATCTGTGTCTGTGAGCTGGATTTCCTCTTTCTTATAATGGAGTAATACATTTAGCTAATTAGTTGGTTTGAAATCAAATTATTGTCAGGTTGTTGCTGTAAATAACAAACATGGTGTCTGACGACTACTTCACTATTTAGTACTCTACTATTTTGCTTCATTTCCAGATGTTTAATTCAATTGCAAGTTCCAGAGAGCACATTCACGCATGCACACTCTTCAAAAATGGCACTTTCATTCTCTTGACAAACTAAAAGTTGAAGAATGGAATTTGTATATTTAAATAGGATGACAGATATAGAATGCATTGCATGTTAACTTGCTTATGATGCTCAAGAGTATGATCTACGTAATTCCACCTGTTATACTACAATAAACTATGCAGCTGTAGTTCCAGCCGTGTTAAGTTTGTGATGCTGGTTGTGAATGTTCGTTAGAACTGTGGGGAAACAGCAACGTGTTGAACTACATTGGTAGTGACCATTGTCAGAAAATAAATGTGTCAGGAATGACTGCCTAAAAGAATTGTTGCCAAAAGGGTCTGTCAAATTAAAAAAAAAAAAAAAAAAACGATTTTTTTACCAACTATTATATTATTTAACCACCTATTATGTTAAGGTATTAACATTTTATTTAAGCATTAAATATTGTATAAAATATTTACTTAAATTATATATATTATTCAAGTACTATTTACACATCTAAATGAATGAATGAATGAATGAGTTAGTTTTGAAAGACTATTTTTTTACCAACTACTATACTATTTAAGAAAAGTCTAAATTGAATGACTCTAAAATGTCATGTGGTGTAACCATCAAGTATAATGCATTAACATATTTTCTTTAAGTATTGTATACAATTATTTAAAGTGTATAGTCTTCAAGTATTGTGTAAACATCTTAATAAATGAATGAATGATTGAATGACCGAACGAGCAAATAAACAAACAAATAAATAAATAAATATTTTTAGTAAATACTATACTATTTAAGAAGTCTATATTTAATGACTCTAAAATGTCATGTGGTGTAACCATCAAGTAAAAGGCATTAACATTTTTTCTTAAAGTATTGTATACAGTATTTACTAAAAGTATATATTCTTCAAGTATTGTGTACACATTTTAATGAATGAATGAATGAATGAATAAATACATATTTTAGTTTTGAAAAACTATTTTTAGCAAATACTGTACTATTTAAGAAAAGTCTAAACTTAATGACTCTAAAATGTCATGTGGTGTAACCATCAAGTAAAAGGCATTAACATATTTTTCTTTAAGTGCTGTATACAGTATTTACATAAAGTGTATATTCTTCAAGTACTGTGTACACATCTTAAATAAATAAATAATAAATTTAAAAAAAAATCATTTTTTTGTAATTTGTACTTTTTTTGAATAACATTAATTGTTAATTCATTGTTTTCATTAAGTGTTTTTTGGAGGTTGAACCACATGACATTTTAAAACTTAAACTGACCACAAAACATTGTGGTCTTCAGGGGTTCTCTGTATAATTTCCTTTCCTGCATGTTGGTTGCACGACGTGACTTCATACCCCCAAAATGTTGTGTGAAGTACATATTTACATATTTACACTCTACATATTTTACATGCAGTGGCTGCAAAAGATGCACGCCAAATGTGGACTCATATACAGATGCTGTCCACACATCTTAAGGTGTAGTTAATCAGGAATATTCTAAAACAGTGATCTTACTGTAGTTATTGATTAGCAGCTGGATGATTTTATCATGTCCGTGTAGAGAAGCCAGGTGGAGCGGTGTGTAACCCTGCAAATACACACAAACAAACTATAAGTGCATTCGCTCAAATTAAGTCCTGAAATGTCAGTTTATATGCATCCTACACACAAGCAAATATCTAAATATCATTAGTGTGGGAGGACAGTAATATGACAGCAATTCTTGTTCTCCTGTTGTGTCTCTCACTCGATTGCGATAGGCTATTAAAAACAGCTGGACGTCATTTCACACACCACTGTGTGCAGGCGACGTTTCGCATTTATGCAGTTAACCAGACAGCAAGACCCGCTGAGACAATCGCTCCAGTACATCCCGCACATTAACACGGGACTAACCCTCTCCAGGATCCCGTCAGTCACCCACCGCTGAGTCAAACAGCTGCAGCCTGATGGTGCTTCCTATCAAAACCTAGAAGGATAGTGAGAGGATGATGGATGTATGAAATGTGACTGTGGTTTAGTGCTGATCTGAGCTCATGTGGTGATTAGTGTGGATGACGGCACATTAATGCTCCACAGGGGACTTTATCATCCGAAGACTCTTCTGCAAACAGATTGACTCCATCTATCTCTGATATCTCTTTGGTGTCCGTTTGTTTTACAGTTACCATTTCCTCGCTCATAACACTAATGGGCCGTGTGATTACTGCAAAACGAGGGTAGAGCGATCATATTTGAGAATTTTGAACATTAACCGAACACAAAATTGGATAATGTACTTAAATGTCCGTAACAGCATGAAACTGAAATACAGGTGCAAATTAATTATGTAAAATTTTAAATTTAAATTAGTACATCATTATCGTTTAAGCATACCCTCAATCAAATAATTACAAAAAAAAACCAGTTCTCAACATGACGACTGGGCACAGTGTATTTATGGAAGATTTGTAATGTTATGCACATGTAAACAAACATGTGAATCAGATTCAAAGTTTAGGGTTCACATAAGCAGAACATTTAGAATCTGAAATTGGATTGGATTTATTTGGATTCTCGAAATTTAGTGCACGTACACATACCTGTTGTTAGCCTAACAACATGCTAACGTCAAACTCTACTGGAATCAGTTGTGAATCGAGTCTCCAGTTAACTTTTTGTGAAAGGCACTAGTTGTAAAATGTGTCGAGCTGCTGCCTGTGTAGACATACAAATTAGTTACTCGGGAGGTCTATGTAAGCAGCAGACAGCGTTTACATTCTGGAACGGAACTTATACAGAGAAACACACAGAGATTGAATCATGGGTAGTCCTTGAAGTACTCAAGCCTACCCTGCTGAAAAAAACAATGGAAACCATCACAGAAAATTCTAATGGTCTTCTAACTACAAGTACCATTACAAACATTACACACCATCAACTTTTAACCATTAAAACCATTTAAAAAAAATTCTTTAGTGTGTTTTGGGACATATTCCATTAAGATTTATTGGTTTTAACAAGCCACAAATAGAAGGCGACCAATTACCAGTAGAAACCCAAAGGGTCCATTACAGTTCCCATTAAAACCAATACAGCTCCCATTATAACCAGTAGAACCATTACAAATTCTGTAATGGTGTCTATTGCTTTTTTGTTTGTTTTTTCAGCAGTGCTACTGCATGAAATGGAGTGCAAACATGCTAGATGTCCAGGTAAAGGTGTCACTATTTCATTCTTTCGGGTAATGTAGCCTAGAATCAGTCCAGGATCGCTGGTGGCTGTGTTTGTAGCGTGTAGCACAGCGTAGCCATGTTGCTAACAGCACAGCACTATCATAGTGTAGTGCTGCTGCCCTTAAAGGTTAAATTAGACTTCCCTCTGCTCTACTCCTCATTATTACACTAGTCCTAGCACTGACATTTTTGGAAAGGTCAGAGCCACTTTCATGTGCTCTGTTTCACGTCAGCTTCAGTATCAGTAAAGGCCCAGGAGAGACCGCCCAGGGTGCCAAAGGAGCCAATGGAGATCAAGGTAAGACAGTGAGTTTGGTTTTAACGAGACTGACTAACACATTGACACAGGACATGGACAATTGCTGTCATGACCCTCGTGAAGAAGAAGTTTGCTTAATTGTATTGAATGTGCACTTGTAGTGTAATATTAATTAAATAAAACAAGGCCACTTAAGTGTACTTAGTGTAAATACAGTACACTTTCATGACTATGTTTCTTAACTCACTTAAAGAAAAAGAAAAAAATATATTTTTTTATTAAAATATCCAAAAACCACTAGACCAGTGTTATATATTTTGCTGACTTGTGTACTTTCATTATCCCAAATGTTTCGAAGAATGTTTGAATCCAGAGAAATAAGCAATTTTAACTAGTGACACAGACCGTGTCCATAGTGTCATTGTGTCACCTGCCAATGACGTCATAACCCCTTGATTTCCGGTTTTGTTTTGTAGAAAACATGGAAACCCCAAAGACGCTTTATTATTGTTGTGTGTTTTAATAGACCAGTGACGACTGCACAGAGTAGCATTATAACATAACTTTCAAATGTATCTAGTATGATAAAACAGCGCTGCTTTACCCCACATACGCACGACCGGAAGCAGCGGAAGCGGTCGACTGTGGCATAATAAAAGCTCCGCTGCTTTACCCCACATACACACGACCGGAAGCAGCGGAAGCGGTCGACTGTGGCATAATAAAAGCTCCGCTGCTTTACCCCACATACACACGACCGGAAGCAGCGGAAGCGGTCGACTGTGGCATAATAAAAGCTCCGCTGCTTTACCCCACATACACACGACCGGAAGCAGCGGAAGCGGTCGACTGTGGCATAATAAAAGCTCCGCTGCTTTACCCCACATACACACGACCGGAAGCAGCGGAAGCGGTCGACTGTGGCATAATAAAAGCTCCGCTGCTTTACCCCACATACACACGACCGGAAGCAGCGGAAGCGGTCGACTGTGGCATAATAAAAGCTCCGCTGCTTTACCCCACATACACACGACCGGAAGCAGCGGAAGCGGTCGACTGTGGCATAATAAAAGCTCCGCTGCTTTACCCCACATACACACGACCGGAAGCAGCGGAAGCGGTCGACTGTGGCATAATAAAAGCTCCGCTGCTTTACCCCACATACACACGACCGGAAGCAGCGGAAGCGGTCGACTGTGGCATAATAAAAGCTCCGCTGCTTTACCCCACATACACACGACCGGAAGCAGCGGAAGCGGTCGACTGTGGCATAATAAAAGCTCCGCTGCTTTACCCCACATACACACGACCGGAAGCAGCGGAAGCGGTCGACTGTGGCATAATAAAAGCTCCGCTGCTTTACCCCACATACACACGACCGGAAGCAGCGGAAGCGGTCGACTGTGGCATAATAAAAGCTCCGCTGCTTTACCCCACATACACACGACCGGAAGCAGCGGAAGCGGTCGACTGTGGCATAATAAAAGCTCCGCTGCTTTACCCCACATACACACGACCGGAAGCAGCGGAAGCGGTCGACTGTGGCATAATAAAAGCTCCGCTGCTTTACCCCACATACACACGACCGGAAGCAGCGGAAGCGGTCGACTGTGGCATAATAAAAGCTCCGCTGCTTTACCCCACATACACACGACCGGAAGCAGCGGAAGCGGTCGACTGTGGCATAATAAAAGCTCCGCTGCTTTACCCCACATACACACGACCGGAAGCAGCGGAAGCGGTCGACTGTGGCATAATAAAAGCTCCGCTGCTTTACCCCACATACACACGACCGGAAGCAGCGGAAGCGGTCGACTGTGGCATAATAAAAGCTCCGCTGCTTTACCCCACATACACACGACCGGAAGCAGCGGAAGCGGTCGACTGTGGCATAATAAAAGCTCCGCTGCTTTACCCCACATACACACGACCGGAAGCAGCGGAAGCGGTCGACTGTGGCATAATAAAAGCTCCGCTGCTTTACCCCACATACACACGACCGGAAGCAGCGGAAGCGGTCGACTGTGGCATAATAAAAGCTCCGCTGCTTTACCCCACATACACACGACCGGAAGCAGCGGAAGCGGTCGACTGTGGCATAATAAAAGCTCCGCTGCTTTACCCCACATACGCACGACCGGAAGGAGCGGAAGCGCTCGACTGTGGCATAGTAAAAGCTCCGCTGCTTTCGAGTCGTTTCGTTGGCTTTCAGCCTCACCCTGCTTCATTCTGCTACATTAATAAATCATTAGCCCATCCATGAACATGATTTCTGCCCGAGTCCCGTCGGATTGCATCGGCTATGGGGATGAAGACCACAACTCCCATGATTCCACACTCAGTCACGCAGTCATCAAACTACGCCTTTGTCTATTTGTTTATTTTGAATACGCGCCCTCTAGTGGCGAAAATGACATATTGTGCCTTTTAGCAGACTTTTAAAAAGTGCACTTTGTAATAATGTCACAGTAAACATTTCACTCACTGTTTTCATAATCATTTGTTTGTGTTTAAAAGAAGTAAATTTATTTTGATGTGTAGACTAACATATTAAAGCACATGTAAAGTGCTTGATTGCAATTTTAACTGTAGTGTTATTACTTTTAAATGTAATATAGTTTAAATGCACTACATTGCAATGCCATCATTATAAATGTGTAATTACAAATAAATTTAAATACATGACATACAACTTTTCATATTTCCAACCAAAAAAAATAAAAAATAAGCTATCCATATTTTTACCCAGCCCTAATCACATGCACTCTCAACCCCTTTTACTTTTACTATATGACTTTGTTGACTCTCAAGGCAAACTAAGAAATATATATTACATTTTAAGTTCTAGGTGCATCTCAGGTAGAGTGAACTCTATGTAGGCCTGGTTAATTCTGATCAATACATTTTTCTTCGAGGTATCATACACCAAGTATGCATACCTAATCCTTTATAATATACTATGAACAGCATTATAGTATGCCATTTAGAACTTACCAAATGTGCAGGCAGTAATAGTAATGAGCTCCACAAAATGAAATGATAAAAATGATCATATTCAGCTTAGGAAACAGCATACTATTGCACATACTTCCTGTATTAGTCTGAATGGTAATGGCATTAAAACCCCATTACTTCCAAGGTTTGTAACTTAATCTCATAGTATCTCCGTTTTGAATGTTTAATAAAACCTATTTGTTCCATGCTAGGCAAGGAAAAGGGATTTGGTCCCACAGTGTGCCAGTTCTAACCGTCCCACAATCCTCTGATAGCTGGACAGCCAATGAGTGTGTAGCATAATCTGAAGCACATTTCTTCTAAATCCTGCTTCATTTCACAGGTGTATTGAAATCAAACTCACCCCCTTCAGAAAGAAAGAAGAAAGCAGGCCGTCATCAAGACCAGAGGCGGCTCCCATTTGCCAGCAAAAGCCAGAGAAGATTACAGAAACAGAATAAGCATAGCACAAGATGGGTCAAGAACTTAATTTCACACCGACAGCACGGGCAGTTTGGCTTTGGAAATATTTACTTCATATGAAGAGCATAAATCTAAGTCTACAAAACCTATTGAGCCGCCTGCAGCATTTCAAAGCATCATGGGTGCACTTCCAACCTCAAGACTGCTCTAAAGTGTAGATATGATATCATGTTTGGGCCAAATGTTATGGGAACATTACATGTATACTTCACAGAGAAAGTAATGTCAGAATCGACTGTGATAATTTACATGCATTTTCTGAATATGTGAAACCAGGTAGACACTTACATGCTTAAAAAGCCAGGTAAAGGTGTTGGTATTAAAAGAGAGAGAGAGAGAGAGAGAGAGAGAGAGAGAGAGGCATGAACTTATTAATTTATTCATAAAACATATTAAAAATGAAAGGAATTGACAATTTCATCAATCAGATGTAAATTCACATATAAGAAAATAACATAAAAAGTTTATGCATTTTTAACTTAGATATAATATATGTTTTTCTACTTCAAAACTTCATATTTAATTCACTGCTCTTGCCATTTCTTCGCAATTGTTTGTGTAATTTGCTGGCATTTAGTCAAAATTCTTCACCAATTTTTGTTTTCAGTGGTGAAACACCAAAAAGGTCTATCAAAAGGGAAAATGAGACAGTGACAGAAAAGAGAAATCCACGATCGTGTGTTTGTGAATCACAGTGAGACACATCCAGACCCTGACAGCGCTGCATGGATTATTGATTTTTTTATTCCATTTCTGCCCAGAGGAGACTGCACTTGAAGAGCACCATTAGCCCCATAACGATTAGAGAGCAAAAGTTAATTATGTAATTATGAAGGCAATAAAAAGTGCGCGTGTGCTTGACTGTGCTCGTGAAGGCTTTAAACATTATCTTCAATGAGCACGTCACTGCAGACCGAATGAGGAGGGAGATTACTTTTTCCAGTAGTGGAAAAAGTGATAGAAAACATTAAGTAATCACAGCACTTTCCCTCTTTGGATTTTTATCCAAACTAACTAACTACATAAATAAATACATAAATAAATCTACACCTTTACTATGATGCACATGCTCACGTTTTCTGAATTAAAATTAATTTGATATTTTGTCAGTTTGAAAAAAAAGTTAAAGAGATGTAACTTAAAACTATATAAATAAATAAATTTGAAACATTATGTAACATTAAGTAGTTTGGAATAATTTTTATCAAAAATGTGGTTCTTAGATTTGTATTTTTGTTTAATAGAATGTAAAACATTTTATTTTAATATGTATTTAAATATTTTATTTTTGATTAAGTTGGTTGAAATGAACTTTTCAATTTTCATTTTATTTGTACATTTATTTAAAGATTTAATATTAGTATAAAACTAATAAAATTTGAATATAAGAAAATGTAACAAAGATGGTAACAATATTCAGTGTACCACATGCAGGACGATATTTTGTTGATATTCACCCCCCCCCCCCCCGCCCCCCAAAAATATATATATTTTTAGTCTGTAAAAAGGTGTTTATTC